TAGAACATACGCATTTTGAAATAGCTTTCCAGGTGATTTTTATGCCCCTTCCCTTTTGAAAATCATTGTTATGTTTATTGGGCTTTTTTTTTTTTAGGTTGAATGAGTAAACCACAAGCAAAATTATAATCAGTGTTTTTAAAGTTTTCATTTTTTTCTTGCCTGCCTCATCCCTATAATACTAAAACTAAAATAATTAATGTCGATTATATGCTCAGCAAGAATTAAATGCAGTTGTCATATTTAGAATTATATTTTATGCAACCAAGATACTAATTTGGGAAGAACTGGATTTAGTCTTCCTAATTGTATCTTTAGGTTACGCCTCTCATTAGGTAACCTGAAAGAGTTGTCATTTATAGTAGTATGTAATTTGCCTGGCAAAGACTTGTGATTAAAAAATTAGACTTAAAAAATGTTTTTAAGAGAAAATAGACTGTCAGCTTGTTGGAGACTGTGGCAAAAAGAAATAAATAATAAAGGAAAAAAAGCATATATATGTTTAACTTGTGGTTGAACTATTTGAGTCAACAATTAAAATGATAGCCGTTGTGGACATGCATTTCAGTTCTTTTCAATATAACTGTAATTAGGCAGCCTTTCTGTGTAAATGCACTCACGAAGCAGAGATTTGTGATTTCAGTACCCCTAAGCAGCCATGGAATTTATAACTTAATCACAGGATATGATATTACAAATTAGGGGAGAAACTGGAAAGTAACATGATACAATTGGTATATTGTGTATTTTTCTTTTTATTAGTGTGCCGCTCCAACAAAAGCCCCTGGGTCTGTTTGACTTGTTCAAGTGTCCACTGTGGAAGGTAGGTAACATACTTATTACTTCACTACCCTACTTGCGTTTTTCAATTTGCCTTGGGCTTTATGTCAAGGTTTTAGTGACTTGGATTTATTAGTACCATTGCTTAATCATTGTATGTAAAATTCTGTAAGTCTTCCCTTTCCCAGGGGAGTCTGTTTGCTCAGTAATACAACTGAGGAAAATCTAGGGGGAAACCCTTTATTTATATTGGTACTCACAAGAATTAATTTGATGATCAGATAATCTAGTAATATTTGATTGAAAAGATGAAATGAGGGAACTTTGAATTCTTTAAATAAAAGTTTACCTTAATGGTTGTTTGTTAAACCTTTTAATAGGGTAAATTTAAGCATATACAAAAGTATAGAGGTAATATAATTGAACCCCATTATTTTCATCACCCAGCTTCAACAGTGATCAAACATTGCCAAACTTGTTTCATCTATTGCCTACACTATTCCCAGCTTTACTGATTTTTTTTAAACACTGTCTTCCTATGATTTACTTTTTTTAAAGATTTTATTTATTTATTTGAGAGAGAGAGAATGAGAGATAGAGAGCATGAGAGGGAAGAGGGTCAGAGGGAGAAGCAGACTCCCTGCTGAGCAGGGAGCCCGCCGTGGGACTCGATCCCAGCACTCCAGGATCATGACCTGAGCCGAAAGCAGTTGCTTAACCAACTGAGCCACCCAGGCGCCTGCTTTACTGATTTTTGAATCAAATCATTCTTCTGAAAACAAAACAACAAAATGTTTATAGATAAAGGAATTCCCTTGAAAAGGGTCTCGTTGTGGAGTTCATTATTAATTGCTGTCTAAAATGTATGAAATGTTCCATTGTTCCATTAAGATATTTTTGTTTTCCAGGGACTTAACACCCCCTACCCCCCAGATTTTGTTCAAGCCTGAGCATTTCCTCCCCATTCTTGGCTTCAAAATGATGTTACTTAAATACTTTAGTCACTTTTTTCTTCGAACTCAAACTCAATATCAGCCTTTGCATTTTTTTAGCTTGACAGCACATTTATTTCTATTGCTCTTTTAACTTAGAAAATCCACTTTGAATTTACTTAGAAGTATAGCTTAGCAGCAAGAGAATGGGAAATCATACTGTCACATAGGCTGAAATCTACATTGTATTTATTAGGACTATTTCCCCATTGTTATTTTTAAACCCTCATTGCATGAAGAGAGCATCTGTGTTCAGTTAACTTTTGATTTTTCACATTTTGAGTCATGGAATTGAGTATTTTTTCCATGTACACTTAAAAGTACCTTTGGAAAATGTTAACTGCATATCTTAATTGTGGCTGTTGTGGTTTTGAAATCTCTAGGATTTGGGGAACCTGAAAATACTTTGTACAGATAACATTAAAAAAAAAAAAAGAAGAAAAGTAGAAGCACTTAAATTCTTCACTTGAAGAGACAGATTCCTCTCCTAGATTTTGAGAGGTGAGAATTATAATGCAATAAAATTTATATAGTTCTGTTCTCCAGTTGTCTCATAGTGCTCTACGGCCTAAATCTTGAAGGTCATATGCCAATAAAAAGACTTGACAAACTCTCAAAAATTGGAGAGGTTAATGTTAATGTTCTTAATAGCAAGGGACAAATAGTTGTCTAAGTAGGTTTTGGAAAAATAAATTGAAAAATTTCTAGACTCTGCAGGTAGTCTGTTTCTAATTGTAAGCAGTCTTAAATTGAGAAATTTAACATAGTTTCAGAGAAATATGATTAGATTAAACAGATATTGGGAGTAGCTTGCATTTGGATCTTCTTTTTACATAGCTAATTGGCTAATTTTCTTTTATCATGTGACCCTGGGTGTTGATTGCCAAGGATCCTGATTTTTCAGTAATTCTAGGCGTGTTTTCTGCAGAAAGTCTTAAATTGAATATTCCTTCAATTTATCAGTAGCATGTTTGAGTTGTATATTCTGTTGACTTTCACGACATCATCCCATTTATTTTTCAAATTTTTGTGATTATGGTTAGAAATCTGTGACATATATATTGACGCTTTTCCTTTTTAGACCAGATTGCCCAGTTAAAATCTAAAATTAGATGAGGGAAATATTTATCCAGTTTATACATAATTGTTAACTTGTGAGTGATGTATTTGAATATTAGGCAAAACATTACTAATCTTAATGTCAGCAGTAATATACTTCTTACTTTTCAGCAACGCCTACAGTAACCATTTAAACATCTAGTACAATTAGAGACTCTACAGTGTGGTGGCTAAATGAACTATATGTACTATGTACAGATGATCAGTTTTCAAAGACCTAAAAGTAGTGATGCCTTATTATCATTGTTCAGTATTTTTCTTTGATTTTGAAGGTGCTCATTATAAATATTTTGTTTCTCGTGGCACAGTATAAATTCTATAGGCATAGGAAATTGAGCTGATTAGATATAGAACCTATACGATGCCTTGGAGTTTACCTTTTTAATTAAGTATTGGGTGTTTCTTGACCTACGCAATGTATGTGCTTAATATGACCACTTTCTAAACAATTATATTGTTCGAATTCTGAATAAATAGTAGTTAAGCATATAAAGAAAAACATGAATAAAATAATTACCAACATCTATTCATTCATTTATGCATTCTGAGCCATGAATTTCTTAATCACCTAACAACGCATGAAATAAAAGTACTGTTACCTCCATAACTACAGATGAGAAAATGTTAAGTGCAGAGAGAGGTTAAGTAACTCATCTAAGCTCAAGTGGCCAGCATGTGACAAAGCTACTTTTGAACTCAGGCAGTCTAATTTTTGAGCTTATACTCTTAATCATTATTTTATTTTAAAATTGATTTTAGTTTACTTTTGTGGACAGAGGACCCAAATACACACGATTTTTGGTTATGTTTACTATAATGAAAAAAATGGGAAAAAACCCATCAAAATCTAAGTTGAGGTTAGTACTGCCTCTAATGCTTCCAGGTTTCCTAAGGTAGAGGCTGGGCCTGAAGTTGTCCTCCCTCTTTACCCCAATTGTTCTGCTTTCCCCAAGGTGAGTGTTGCTCCTGGTATAATTAAGGTGCCTCATGACAAAACATTACTTTAACTCTCTGAGTATGTTTATTTTGGTACCATTTGACCAACATTTGTTTTGACTGAGTTTTCAATAAGGTCTTGCCTTCTATAAATTGACTACTTTCTAGGAAATGGGAAGTTTTGTTTTATAAGGGCCTTCATAGTACCGGCTAGTTACAACATTGTACAGTATTTAGGTGGAGGTTTAGAGGAACTTGGGTGGTTTCGCCATGTACATTATTTCAGTTTCATTTTGCTTTCTGTAATACACTGATTTATTAAATCTGAGTTAGAAAGTGTTAGAAAATTGTTATGAATATAGTCAACCTTTAATTATCTTTGTCCATGTAAAGAAATAGTTTATATAAACTTAAGATGATTTGTACTTTGTATTGTTTTTAAAACAAATGTGTTTCCATTTGAGTGGAGCTAATTATTTAAGCATTTGAATAAAATATCTGAAGCCATATTGATGAGAAAGAGATTATCCTGTTTCCCTATCTGACTTTCATATAAACAGCAGTCCAAGCACAGTCTGTGGCCCTGTGGGAAGTGGTTGAGTGATTTAGTTTACAAATCTTGCCTTTGAGAATAACCTGAGTTGGTTAGCAGTCTGAGAAAAGCTTAAAAAAAAAAAAGGAAAAAGCTATAGCAAAAGCATCAGCAAAGGAGTTGATAAGTGATAATAGCCGTGATATTGAAACTGATTTGCATAGATGAGCCTTTCCTTGCCTGGCCCTAATCTTGTGTGTAATTAAAAGTTGACTGTCATGTTTGATTGCAAAAAAGCATATTTTAAGCACTAAGCTTAATCACTAATTGAATGCTCTTTAGGATTGAATGCTCTTATAAGGAGGAATTCTTTCTCATTCTAATTTGATTATCATCTAATTTTATTATCTACTATTTTAACTTCCAAAGCAATATTTAGATTAAAATAAAAATTTATTTGGTTTTAAGGTATGTGAATGGCCATGCAAAAAAACATTATGAAGATGCACAAGTACCCTTAACTAATCATAAGAAATCAGAAAAGCAAGATAAACCTCAGCATACAGTGTGTATGGATTGCAGTAGCTACAGTACCTACTGGTAAGTATTAATATTTTCTGGAGATGATATTCCTTACTCAGTGTGTGCAAGGGTTTCCTCATTTCCCTCACTCTTTCCCCTCCCCCATCAATCTCTAAACCAGTCGCTACTGCCATTACCTCCTTTTAGTTTTGTTAGGATGCATAAGGGATCGGAGCCATCAGGAATGCCTGTCTTTTTATTCATTCAGATTTTACTCTGCATTGTTCCCTTCAACTTCTGGGCCTCCTCTTTCCCACCCCTCTGTTCCTTGTCCATCCTGATAAGCTTCAGGGCAATGAAAAGTATTTCTTTGTGGTTGTTCTTTATAATTATTTTTATTTTTCTTATTTGGTTTTTAATTGAAGAATAATTAAGATACACAGTCGTGTTCAAAACAAAACAAAACAAAAACCCAAGCCCATGTTTTAATTGTCCGGTTAACATTTTGTTATGTAATCTTGAAAACGTAACTTCTTGGTTTAAAAACTGTTTTGACAATCACCCCTCTCCCAGCACAGATCCATTCTCGTCTCCTCCTCTGTAGATAAATGTTAAGAATTTCATGTGTAGCCTTTCAGGCTTTTTTTTTTTTTTTTTTAAGTATCACATCCTTTAAAAGGAGATTGGAGGCCCTGTTCTCTCTTTGTAATATAATATGCATGTCTGTTTCATATAAATGACAATGAAATAAGTACCGATTTTTGTGACTACTTAGAACTAGGTTATTTAGGTTACAGTAATGTTAAATAATTCATCTTCATTTGGTATGCTCAGAAGGACAGTGTTTTTTGCAGTTTTAACTTCAGTGTGAAGCAAGTTTTTTTCCTTGACTAGTAAATTATGATGAATAATTCTTTAATCAGTTTACTCTCAAAAGGTTTTTGACATTGAAGGGAAAAAAAGCCATTTGAAAGATCCCTTTGGAGATCTTTTTTGGCCATCCAGCCCTTAAATGTCACACGAAAGCAGTACGGGACAGGAATGAGGATTTAAAGTCTAAATTTAATCACTTTTGATTTACACTCTACTGGAGTTTTGTGCTAATTTTGTCTACATCATTCTTAGTTGATTATTGTATTGTAGAAAAATGTCCATCAAAGGGAAGAAAGAGTGGCTTCCTATCTTTAAAATTTTTAACGGTTTAACATTATTAATTTGTGGCTATTAAATGACACATCTTAAGGTTTAGTCATTCAGACCACTACTCTTTCCGTGGAAGATGTCCAGACCTGGAAGAGAGAGAAGCTAGAGGTAGATAACAATTTCAATAAAAATGAAAATCTTCCTAAGATTTTCACACACGGGCTAGTGCTCAGTTTATTGTCATTTGCTCTTGTAAAATGCTCCTTCCTGTGAAAGGTAAGCATTAGCCAGGCTGTTAGAGTGTTCTTACTAGTTTTTTGCTTTTTCCCTCAGGAAACTTACATACGAGAATGACAGAGCTACCCAATTGACAGAACCATATGTTTCTTTAAGACTTACTTTTAGAGAGCAGAATTTAAGATCACTCTTTAGGTATAATTTCACAATCATTGTTGTAAGTCATGTCAACCTGTATGTACCAGATGTTGAAAACATTCATTCTTCTTGATTTTCAGTTAGCAGTGTGTATGAAATGCTAAATGGGGAAGTTTGGAAATACAGTTAAATCTCTGCTATAACAAGTTTGTAGTGGGTTTTCTTGCAATTGGTGAGATTATGAGGAAACAGTAACTCTGAGGAAATTTTAAAAATTAATGAAGTAGAATAGGTCTCTTTAAAAATATAGGTTACATACTTCAGTGTCTTCATTTATAAGAATATACTTTATACTTTCTGCATTTTGGAGGAGTACCTTTATTAACTAGAATTGGAATTTGATTTGTTTTATGTTGGTATAATATGCAAAAGTACATGTGGTTTCATGGCTGAATTGTAATTAAATGGCAGATCTTGAGCTTTGGGGAATATACACCATGGCGGAGGCTTCTTGGCCAATTGCCAGTCTTTTGTGTGAAGTTATACAGAGCTGCAAAGTGTGTGGACACTCAGAGCTTCAGAAATGCAGGAAGGGAACTGCAGCTGGTCACATTACTGTATCATTTGTAGGTTTAAAAACAAAATGCCAGGGAATCACCCTGTAGGATTATACTGATGCCTTAAAAGAAATCTGCGATAGTTGCAAACTGATAAAGCTGTAGTCTAAGTTAACGTTTTCCTCACACCTCAGCATGATTAGGAAAAAAACGAAAAAGAATTTCTTCTTTCTGTATGAATGGGTTTGTGTTATTTTCTAGTATGCTTCAGTAATTTCACTTCAGTTCATCAAGTTTCCTTGCACATAAGTTTCTTATGGTTAGGCTCAGTGATTTGCTTCAGAGGTAAAATATTGGTGCATTAGTTTTCACCTATTTGATTATTGTTATGCTTGTTGTCAAAATCTTTTGACTTAATCTAATGTTAAAGCTCCTTTTTCACGTGCTGTCTTCTCTAAAGAAGTTGAAACATGCTCTGAGGCTTAGAGTTTGTCCTTACTTCCCCTTTCCAAGAGTCCCTGCCCTTTTCCTATCTTAGCATATCCTTCGTGAAGTTACCACTGAACTCTCCCCCACATCCCCCCTCCCAGCTTCAATTGTAGCTGGATGTAATCTCTCCTAAACTCATAGTTCTTAGGATACTTGTAATTTCCTGCTGCACGATAGGTTATTTGTAAATGTCCTTGGGGACTGCAGGAACCAGATATCAGATAATATCTTCCATAGTACTCAATGTCTGGTGCAGAGTAGGCAATATGTTGTATTGTTGGAAAGATTGTATTTTGTTTTATGTCTTCCAAAAATGGGGAAGTTTACACCAAATCTATAATATTTGCCTTCTGATCATCTTGGAGGACTAAAGAACCACAGAACATCTTTCTCAAAGAAGACGTAAATCGTGGCTTGTGTGAGCTATTTCATTTACCTCCCAAGAGGGACACTCTGCTGCAGAGTAGTCCCTTCGCTTTTCACATAAACAGGACATCTGGAAGAAGCACTTATTAACCAAACAGAACACATAAAATGGGTCACTGTTTCAAAAGAGGGAAAGCAACACCAAAAGGAGTAATTTTGATTTGACACAAACCTACTCCTAAAGGAGATTTTCATTTTTATAAAAATTCATTTTATTAACTAGAATTGGAATTTGATTTGTGAAGATTTCTATAAAATGAATTTCTATAAAAATGAAAATCTCCTCAAGATGTTCACACAAGGGCTAGTGTTCACTTTTATTATGTGTTAAGTAGTATTTCCTTTCCTCCCACCCCAACTTCTCTCTCCAGTCAGTAAAAATGGAATTGTATGTGGTATACATTATTGTATCAAAAAGAAACTGTGATTAAAATTAGGAACTTTGATTTCTTACATAGACATTTGGAATTAATAGTTTTAAAATGCTGAACAGAGGGGCGCCTGGGTGGCTCAGATGGTTAGGCGTCTGCCTTCGGCTCAGGTCATGATCCCGGGGTCCTGGGGTCGAGCCCTGCGTCAGGCTCCCTGCTAGGCAGGGAGCCTGCTTCTCCCTCTGCCTCTGCCCCCCCCCTCTCTCTGTGATTCTCATGAATAAATAAATAAAACATTTTTAAAAAATGCTGAACAGATAACTTTTGATGCCTGACATAGTCTTGTTGACTCTGATCCTTATCAATAGTAACTGAATTTCTGAGAATACAAAAATATGAAAGGAATATTAAAACTAAATAAAATAAAAAATATAAAACTAAACTACTAGGCAGGGTAATGTTTTAAGGCACTATATCAAACAAAGAAATATTATGAAATGTGAATCAATTTGTCTAGAAAAAAGACTTGTATTTCAGATTTTTTTAAAAAATTTATTTATTTTAGAGTTCGGGGTTGGGGGAGGGAGTGGAGGAGCAGAGGGAGAGGGAGAAGCTCAAGCAAATGAGTGAGACCCTGAGATCACAACCTGAGTTGAAACCAAGAGTCAGATGCTTAACTGTGCCATGCAGGCACCCCTGTATTTCAGATTTTAAACACCTGTAACAAATACCAGTTTTAACTAAAACTAATAAAGTTCTTAGTTTTGGACTTAAATTGATACCAAATCATTTTCAAAGGAAATTATGATCAAATATTAAAAAGGAGGCACAAAAAAGTAAAAAGAAAAATGGAGCGCCAGGGTGGTTCACTGGGTTAAGCATGGAACTCTTGATTTCGGCTCAGGTCATGATCTCAGGGTCGTGAGTTTGAGCCCTATGTTGGGCTCTGCCATGGGTGTGGAGCCTGCCTAAGATTCTCTCTCTGCCCCCTGCCTTGTTCGCACGTGCATACACAGTCTCGCTTGCTCTCAAAAACAGAGAGAAAAGTAAAAAGGGGAAAATCTTTAGACTATCTTTATAAACAATTTGGGTACAAATTTTCAGTGTTGTAAAGATTAGAGAACAGGAGGAGTTTTGTTTATTTAAAAACAGTATTTTTGAAGTTTAAAAAGAACTTTTTCAGTAGAGGTGGTCTGAAAACATGAAAGGCTCTTCCTTAATAAGCTAGTACTTGTCTGCTTTTAACAAAGGATATAGGTTTTCTGGGGCGCCTGGGTGGCTCAGTTGGTTAAACGACTGCCTTTGGCTCAGGTCATGATCCTGGAGTCCTGGGGTCCTGGGGTCAAGTCCTGCTTCAGGCTCCCTGCTCGGCAGGGAGTCTACTTCTCCTTCTGTCCCTCCCCCCTTGTTCTCTCTCTCTCTCTCTAATTCTCTCTCTCAAATAAATAAATAAAATCTTTAAAAGAAAAGGATATGTTTTCTCTGCAGTTGTTCTTCTATTTATCCAAAATTGGCTTATTTGATGGCAGTACATCAGAATTTAGTGAAAGAATTTAAAAATAAGCTTGCTATGTAAGTTCTTTTGGGTTTTAACTTTCCTTGGTTTGAAAAGATGAAGTCACTAGAACACAAGCTTTTTTTTTTTCCTGTAATCCTATCTTTTATAATAAAACCAGAGGTCAAATTTGCCTTCAAATGTCACAGTATTATGCAGGGG